TTCTGAGGTTTATCTCACAGAGAACTTGAATTGCAGGATAAGATTATCAAGTTCAGAACAGATCTCCAAGATAAATGGCTTGTGCCCATTTCCCCTCGTTCCCCTTGCAGCATTCCACAGCCAGCAGTGGGTCTGTGGCTGCTTGAGATGTACATGTGGAAAGGGAGGAGGGAAGCGTGGGCTCAGAGCTGATTTAGCTACTCAAGCTGAGCAGTTTTAATTTGTTCTAACAGTTATGAGCAGTAAAACCATTACCACAACTGCAGGATAGAATTATCAAAGCCAGCAGATGTCAGACACCTTAATCTTTTTAGAGTTAACTTAATTCCTGGTATTTTAAGAAAATGAACAAAAAAAGAGAGGAACAAACACAAACTACTAACAGTTCTTTCTAGATGCTAATTACCTCTCACACAGTCCAAAAAGTCAAAATAATTTTAAAAATTAAAATATTAAAAAATATAGCATGATGCTGGCAAGGATGAAAAAGCTCAGATCCCAGTTCTGCAAAGACAGACATATGCATGATTTTATTCACTGAGTATTCCCAGTGGGAATGCATTTACAAACAATGAAGATTCAAAAACTACAATAAAATTCTTCCAACACTACTTATAGGCACCCAAATGGGGAAAAAAAAAAAAAAGAAATCCCCCTTTAAAATCTATTTTCAAACCTTTTCAAGGCCTACCAAAGCTGCTAGCTTTGCTCACAAGCTGTATCTACAGTTTGGGTGACATTTCATTTGCTTACAGTAATGTTTTAATAATCCACTAAGCCTTTCAAGCTTCTGGGACTTCACTCTATCTGTTCTGCTCAGTGGACAATTCCTTAACTTCAGTCCTTCCACCTGCAATTATCTCATTTGCTTCACTGGAATTTAGGAAGGGTGCAAACATGTAGCAAATCCAGCTAATGTTGCAGTCGTGTTTCAGGTAATTTTAAATTATTTGTGCGTTTTCATTAAAAAAAAAAAAAAAAAAAAGTACAGGCAATGCTACAAAAGTGGGGAATACACAAGGATCAACAGTGGAAGGTGAGGAAGCAGGATACTACCATAATGAATCGTGGCTGCTTGAGTGAAAATTCAGAAAGGGGGTAAAAAATGGTAATGCCTTGGAAAACCAGGAAACTATGCAAGTGTTAGAGGAGGACCACAGCTGAAACAATTCAAAAAGGTTTTAAAAGAAACAAAATATTTTTAAACTGGTGTAGATAAACATTTTGGTCCTGAAAAAAACAGACAAAGAGATGTCTGTATCTTCTAGTTTCAGTCATGTAATTTAGCAGCTGGAATTAGGAACCCTTATTCCTTGTGCAAACAATGACTCCTCCGTGGACAATTCACAAAAGCAACACAGTCACTCCAAAATGGCTTTACAGGGATGTTGGAAGATTTCTCTCTCCTCATCTTCCTTACTGCTTGTTCAAATGAGCAATCTGGGAGGATGTTGTGAAGGGGCTGAGGCAGAGGATCACATACCCAGCAGATCCTTGGCCAAGACCTTTGGATTCTGGGAGACCAATATACATGAGCTGGACTAAAGTGAGTGCAAGGACTGAGTGAAACCCCAAACGGGCTGGTTTAATCCCAGTTGTTGTGGAATCAGAGGAAATGTAAAGGTGCCATCTGTATTTGTTTGGGAGGTATCAACCAATGATTTTTAAAATAGAGATGATATTTTACAGATTTACACAGAAGCTTAACAATTAATTTTATTTATACATATATATAAACATATGTATATATATATATGCACCACTATTTCTGCTTCAAAATGCAAGAGGTCTTAATTGTTATTGATTTTTATTGCACTAAATTATTTTGGTTATTTTCACTACTTAAATGCTATTTAATCTTATTTTTATAGCAAATAGTAATGCTGGGTAGGGAGAAAAATGGAAAGTTCCTTCTGCTTCTATGTCTCAATGTAATGATGCTCTCCTAAAGCACTTGGTCAGCACTACTATGGCATAACAAGGCTTAAAAAATACTTTAGACTAACATGGATTGAGCTAAAATGAAAATGAATAGCTGCCACTAGATGGCATGACAGCCCTATGTTACTTCGTTGGGTTGGTTTTGGTTTGGGCTTTTGCTGTATATAAAAAGGCATGTGTAAGATTTGTGTTTCATGCACAGTGTTGACACATTTTCCCCATGCATTCCAAATAGATCTGATGATAACTAATCAGTGAATGAAAGAAACTACTTGACAATTCCTTTAGAATACACATACAGTATGGAAATGAGATGTAGTGTAAACTCAACTATAACAAATTTTAAGAAACTTGCTGAAAGAAGCGGTGCATTTAGAAGAAAAGAGTGCTTGACTTATTTCTAAAAAGGCATTCTCAGTAGTAGAATTTAATTTTTAAAACAATAACAAACAAAACAAGTGAACTGTCAATTATCAAACAACCCACTTTCTATAAATCTCAGCAGGCACTTGATGAGTTAACTCTTCAGCAGTGTCTCTCAGGTGAGTTAAGAACAAACCCAATGTTGTTACCTGCCTGAATGCCTTTCAAATGTCAGACAGGTTCCTTACACAGATGCAGACATAGAAAACTTTTGCTCAACTGTTTAATAAAAGAGATGAAGATAACTGGGTTTTAATTAAATATGCATTGACATATTTGCATGTTTCATAATTGCACTACAAAAGTAAGCAATCACAGTCAAATATTCAGCAGTGCTAGTTGTCAGTAACTTGGAGAAACATGATGCATTAATTGGATTAGAACCTAGAACTCCCTATTGTCCACAAAGATTAAATAAATAGTCTGCAAAAATACAAATGTAATATTTATTTTTTTTTTTTCCCTATTTAAAGATGAGTGAAGAGAAGGATGGAAATGGGCCAGTACCTCACCAGCTGAAGAGCAGCAGTTTGCACCTGACCACATCCCTCATGCTTCTCATGAGTACACACTGCTGTGTTCTGTGCGACAGAAGAGTATCTGGGATTCAACATTTCCATGGTGGTATTTCCAAATGCTCATGGTGTTATTTCTAAATGCATACTGTACTGTGAGATGTGCAAGTATAAAAGTATTTCTAAATGCATACTGTATTGTGATGTGCAAGTATAAAAGATTATTTTTCCACCCTGATCTTATTGTCCTTAAGAAAAAGGGAGTGAGGCTAGTACTGCACAATTTGCTTTGCCTGTATCTAAGAGGACCTAAGAAACACTGCACAGAACCAGTCCTGGAGAAAAATGCTGTCTGTCCTCAGGCCAGAAAGTGAAGTAAGACTGGATGTGAAAATCTGAGTGTCTTTGAATTCTATGACCTAATCCTCTTGGATCACAAGTGCATGAATTTACATCACCATAAATGAGTTTATTAAAACGTGTCTGCTGGCATTATATGCATCCTCTCCCAACTGGCCTCAGGTTGTGCCAGAGGAGGTTTGTTGGACATTAGGAAAAATTTCTTTACTTAAAGAGTGGTCAAGCACTGGAACATGCTGCCCAGGGAAGTGGTGGAGTCAACATCCTTGGAGATATTAAAAAAATGCATAAATGTGGCACTTCAGGACACGGTTTAGAGGGCATGATGACATAGGGTGGATGGTTGGACTTGATGATCTTAGATGTCTTTTCCAACTTTAATGATTCTAAGATTCTACTGTCTACCTCTCAAGGTAAATAACTGGTGTCATCTTATTCAGCCCTCCAGCTGCCCTACTATTTCAGTACTTGGTAAGACTTCAAAAAGGGGTGGCAAAGAATAGCTCAGATTCATCTCTGTAGGTGGCCATACCAAGAAACTAACACCAGATTCTGAAACAACTCTGCCCCTGAAAAATGTCGTAGAAAATGTTACAGATTGCTTTATTTTATTAACACAGTAGCTAAGTGCCTTCCTTACACCTTAGCTCCATGTACAAGCTGTGGCTGAGAGAGGGTAACAGGCCAATTCCTAACTAATGGCAAGACTCATACTGGAGTGGGATGAACAATTCAGAAATGTATAGAGCCACCTTACCTTTATGCAGTCTAAACTTGGTTTTTGATGTCTATTGCCCAAGCAATTAATAATATCTTTAAAGGATTTTCCATTATGACATTCCTTTTAAAACAGCTGGAGAAACATAAAAAAAGGTAATTGAAACAACCTATTTTGAGTTACCCAGGAAAAATGTGGGAAACTTAAGCTGGAAAGAACTGCACGGAGTTTTCTGCATCCAGCATCACAGACTTATTCCCAACCATTATCATTCTCAGAGGCTCTGTATGCAAGAAAGTGTCTTAACAGAAGTGCTGACCCACTAGACACCATCTTCACTAAATTGCACCTCACCTGTTATTTTAACCCCAAGACAAAATCAACTCTAAAACTTGACTGGGTTCTCCTATTTGGAGTTCAAGTGTCTTGTATGAGAAACCTATTGTCTTCACTCCTCTTGTAGTCCCACACATTCAATTTTTCTGCTAATGAACTAAAAGTAGATTCAGTTACTGTATAACCTCAACTTATTTCCAGAGTATCATCTATTCTATGTACTGAAACAAGATGAGGACAAAAAAATAAGTAGCCATGAAATTTAAAGTTACTTTAAAATATGTACATGGCAGTGTATGAAATTGAGACATATTCTAACTCCACATAAAGCTGTTTTCTTGTCTTTTCCAATTTCAGTTTTTGACAGTATAAACAATTTTCTAAAAAAAAAAAAAAAAAAAAAAAAAAAGAGAAGTAATTTAGTTGATGATAATAGCTGTGCACAACTCTATCACCCTCCTTCCACTGCATCATTGTAAGGCACTGCAACTTGGACCGTCAGCATTTTAGTGCTCATCATCCATCACCTGAATGGAAGTATAAAAATACAAGTACAGAGATACAAGACAAATTCAGCTGCTGGCTTCAGAGCTCCACCTCTATGGACTAGGCATAAAATGCCAGATTGCCAAGTAACACCAGTCCTAGTGGCCTACACAAGGAGTTTTACCAGATACTGTCTGAGAAACCACACTTCTCCTGTATTTATCAGCATCCACGCGCCATACTAATGTACTGCATCATTTCCTTTTATAAAATAATACAAGAAACTTCTTTTTATAAAAAATAAAGGTCACAGAAATACTACAAGTGATCAGCAATGGCAATAAAACCAGAGCCCAGGTAATGTTTATTGGATTCCAGCAAAGTCTCCACCTTGGCTCCCATGTCCCCCTGTCTGGTAAGAAGCAATTGCAGCAGGAAGAGCCTCTGTTTTGCTTATGTCCCAGTTAGTGATTAGTGCCACACACCAAAACAGGCTTGCAGTGCAAAACCAATAGCCATTAGTGATGAGAAAAGAAACTACTCTAGATCCTCCAGCATCTCTGAGTTAGCCAAGCAGAGCTGAAAGGCAGTGGCTGTCAACAGATTTAGTTTAGGCCAATCCAGACATTTCATGAAGCAACAAAAGGCAGCTTTATCATTCCAGCATGACCTTCTGATAAATTTTAGGATGCAAAAAGTTGAAACATTACAATGGTTTTGTAGTGCAAAGTCTTACTGAACTAAATATAGATATAAGCACTATTCTCTCACTGTTCTATAATCTTCTGACTTTTAAAAACCAAAATTGTTCATTTCACAATCCATGAGTGAGCTGCAGGTCTAAATTCTAGCCTCCCAGTGAAAGAAAACAAGCAGTTCATGGAACTTTGTCAGTATTGAGACTATGGCAGATGCTTGCTGTGGTGGTTTTGGTTTACTCTTGTGATCAGCTGGAATCAGAGGTAATGCTGAGAAGCATACAGAACCTGACTGTCCAGCTAAAGGTGCACTAGAAAGAAAACAGCCAGGAAGGAGGTAGGACTGTGGCTTGCTTTCTAACTCTTTTCACCTGCTTTTTACAGCAGCTGATGACACTCCTCAGTGAGTTTTCCAGGCTCACATACACAGCTGTATCTGCCACTTTGTTTTTCTCTTTTAAGACAAATTGACATTGGTAAGATTCAGCTCTGTCCAAAAGTATTACAAGCAGATATTGATTGCTTCTTGACCACTCTATCTCCAGCACCACAAGACACTGCCACCCATTGTTTGCACATATTTGCTTTATACATGCCTTACAGTATCAGCACACTGCTATGTAACTGACTGGATTTTGGCTTAGCTCCCCTTGCTGGGCTTGCTCCCAACCATACCCATGTATGCACTATCAAACTTGAAGATGGATTTGCTAACTAGCATGTTATTTTCTTTGCATGTATTCTGAACCAGATGACTACAGCAAAAACTAATAATTGCTTGAAAAATGTTTGGTTCTGTTGACAAGGACATTCAACTGAGAAAAGCAGATCTCTATCACCAGAAACTGCAAGGGACTAATCTTGAGTATTGCGTGTTACTGAGGGACATGATGGCACAGACCCAGCAGCTTCAAGGAGAAGTGAAGGGTGATGTCCGGAGGAGTCCAGACCAGGCTGTGCATTCCAGCTCTTGGAACCTGCCTTGCAGAAGATTCATTGGCCCTGCTGTTGAGCTGATGATAGCTCTGATTAATGTCACAAACTGCTACACTGAAAATGGACTTTCCTCAGGGTATTTTCAATACCAGGCCTTACAAAGACAGCAGGCTGTTGGTGGGGCATCAAGTAAGACTAAAGTCAGATACTGACAGACTAGGGCAGTTTACCTGTGCTTAACTTCCTGTCCTCTTGTCTTTCCCACATCTTTTAAGACCCAGAGTGGCTACAAGTTTTTTCACACTTTTAAAAACAGAACTCCCACACCTGCCTCCTGCAAAACCTTTGAAATAGCTAGTCTCCCATCCACACTTCACATACTTGTTCTTTCTGTGCCCCTCCCTCCTTTTTAATTGTTCTTAAATACAATTAAAAAAACCTTTACACTTTAATTTCTTTGACATTACAACTGGAGTGGGTGGTTAAAATAAGAAAAAGTGAAATATTTATACAAGCTAAAAAGTAAGCTAAAATTGTATTTTAAAAAAAATCCACCTAACCAGCTGCTCTTAACAGGAAAATCAGAAATAAAATAATTAATCACATCTGCCAATTCCTGAGTATCTTGTGACTGGCAACAGTAAAATATTTTCTACTTCACTTGCTAGTATCTTTTCATTCACATAGTAAAAAGCATGTGTCAGTTTTTGAGCTCATCAAGGAAACAACACACTCATGCCAGGCTGAGGGTTTATTCATGTAGGTACCAACACTGCAGATAGCATTTTTTCCCTCTGTGACAGTGAAGAAATGAACACCATACAAATAATGTTGCTGTTTACATACCATGTAAATAAAGGCTGTTGATATCCTGTCTTTTTTGTACAACATCTGTTTGGCTAAATGAGTAAATAATATTTTAAATCTTTTTCCCCCACAAATGAAATATGCTTCTTTTGTCTATGTATCTCAGGGAAGCAGGAAAAAAGACACTGGTCTCTACCTGGATTTCATAATCCATTTTTTACAGAACATCCAATCAAAATGTTCTCACAATGCAGGAAATTCAGGTTGTTTCTTTCACATCCTGAGATCAAGCATGTGAACTGGAAATAGGCTGTTCTTTCTAAAGGGCTGTTTCAATGCTTGAGATGCTGCTACTTTTTGCTCCTGCTGCACAGACACAGTTTGCCAGTGTGGAGAAAAACAACTGAGCTTTAGTGAAGAGGAGATGCAAGGTCACTCCTAGGAGTGGTCCCATATTGGACCACAACTGCTTAGGTTGGCCTTGCACTAAAAGCTGCCATTATTTCCACTATAGCATTCTGTACTGTTAATGTTCAAAGTGCTAACTGGGTATTTAATTTCATTCATGACAGAACTTTTAAAAAAGCAACACATGGTCTAAATCTTTGGCTTGATTTTTTAGGCATTAGGACTGAGATCTTCCATGTGCAAGGAGATGCTCAGTGGGATATTCTTAATTGCCCAGGTCTAATTCCCACTGAAACCTGAACTTAAGAATCTGGCCTGTGGCTTTACCAAAGAGCTGAACATGACCAACAATGTTCTTCTTTTAAATTTTCAATGCAATGCATATATCTGATAATCAGAAAGTATTTTAAAATTCTATTCAAGCATTTTCAGTCTCCACACATAAACTACAATAATTTTATCCTTGAAATTTTGAAACGAGTTGCACTGTACTGTTTCATAGATGAAATAATTGTTAGAGAGATTTCTTCCTTTCCACTTATTCCCTTTCATTAAAAAAGTAAACGTTCAAGTATTGCACCACACAGTGAGACATAGTTTAGAACAGGACCTTTTCTACAGATTTGCAAACAGCATTATGGAGTATTTTCTATCCTAAAATTCCTGTAATTGTAATTTTTCTGAATACCTGAAAAAACCCCGGTGGTACAGGACCTACTGGCATGCCATCTCCTGGGGGAATGTTTCCTAGCACTGGACTGGGAGCTGCTGCAGCACTCTGAAAAGAACAAAGGGAGAATAAACCTTTGTCATTGCATGGTAGGCATTAGACCCAAAAAAAGAAAATGAGACCAAAAAAACCCAAAAACAAACCTGACCAAAATGCAGAAAGTAATTCTTTGGATATGTCATAATGTCATTGTTTCATCTGAAGGTAAATCAAAATTGTATAGTGTTTTGTCTTTGTTTATACAAGTATAATGATTTCTTAAAATAAATGTATGTTGAGGGGAAGGATGCTAGAGATATGCATGGCTATACAAATATGCATCAACTAGGTAAAATTTTACTAGATTTTTTAAATAATTGCATCTGAGTATGTCTCTACATATAAAAATAAGAATGTAACTCACACATTTTTTCATGTGTTATGTCTATAAATATCCTCACATATGCATAGGAATATACATGTAGCATAAAGAAAGTTATTTATGCATTTTATCAGCAATTTTCAAACAGCTTAAAGACAACTTCATCAGACTGTAACATTCTTTCAGAACTATATGAAGCTTCAAAACAGGATTCTCTTATGAACAGTACAAGAAGAAATGCTCATGATTCTTCTGGTGATGTTTATGATTTTACCAACCCTGAAAATAACCACCATGACAAATTAGAAGAATTCAGGTTACATTTTTGGAAGGGGGAAGGAAAAAAGGGATTTCTAAGAAGTGAATCAGAGGATGAAATTAGTTACCTTTGCAAATCCTTCAGTTAGAATAAGAAAGTAAAGAAAACTGCTTCTGGCAATTTACAACCAGTAGATCATCACAAAAAGGGAATCCAAACTGTTATTGTTGTCATGTATTGAAACCTCAATTACTTTTAATTTCTAGCAGTCTTCCTTCCTGCAATATCTTCCTGTAGGACGTAAGTCTGAATCACACCTATCAAGGCTTACAATCTGCTGTGGAAGTACTCATGCACACACAATGCATTGAGAGTCACTTGCAGCTTACTAATGACCTCCCAATACCTGCACTGCAGAATATGAATGGCTTATGTTTATTAACTTACCACTCTATTGTATGCTCACACCTGATATCCAAAAGATGTTGATCTGGAAATTATATTTCCAGGTGTTTGGCACACTATCTAGGAAATTAAAGAATAATGCTGGAAAGATTTGAAAACTGGCACAAAGAAGGGCTGACCTTTTTAAACCATGCAGAAAGGAAATACACAGTTAATTACTACCGATTTTTCAAAGGCTTAAGTTGTGCTTTAGAATAAAATTTCTGGACTACTAGCAGTAGCATATTTAACACCTAAGCTGTATGGTCTTTCCAAACAAAAGTCTAGAACACATCACTAAATTACAAAGACTTCTGAAAGTGCTGGCTTCAGAACTGAGTGTAAGATTGTGAATCACTAGAAAACCCTGTAATAAAGGGTCTTATTTATACAAGGGCCTGAACTGCAGGATCAGTGTTGAAATACTATATAATCGGAATTGATTAAAAAAGCCAGTCAGGTAAGTTGGATGTACCAAACACTCAGACAGGCTACCACAAACCAAGCAAACCAGGCTGTTATGCTGTAGCAAACATGGAGGGGTTCCCCACGAGCCACTGCTGCTCTTGGGGCACTGCCTGAACTTCATGAGGCTGGGTTATAATGCTGCTTAGATGCATGCAAAATCATGCAAATCCATAGAAGGTCTCAGGTCCTTCTCTCAGGTCTGTCACACTCTCTTGGCCTCTGAGACAGAGGAGGGGAAATAAGCAGTTGGTGAGAACACACAGAAATAACGCCCGAAGAATTGAATGGTTTTGTTGCCCTTTCCTTTTGCATGGCTTATGTGAATGTTCACTCATGACTTCCAGATTATCTACATTTCTAAAGGAAAACCAAAGATAAACTTTTGGGCTTTTCTTTCAAGCAAAAATAAAAATAAAAATAAAAATGGCCTTTTAAAACTGACCATCAGGTAAGAATACCAAGTAAATCCATAAATTGCAGACACATTTTAAGTCAAGTTGGATCTTAGTTCCATATGCAGAGGTTTTCTAGATGAAGAATGACAACAGCAGCTTCATGGATAGAGAAAATCAATGATGTTAAAAGCCTGAGCCCAAGTCCAATGTACCCTGCACTGCAGACTTTGACTAAGAAGGAGTAGCCCATTAAATGGCCACTAATAATGATGAACCTTATTACAGTTTCCTCCCTCTTTGCATACTAATTCCTCATTACCTCTATGCTACCTTAGCTATGTTCATCTTTACTGGCCATGTAATATGTGCTGTAACGTGTCCAATGGAGCTGATGCAACAGAATAAAGCATTTGACTGTAAGGAATGACTGGGCAAACCCATCTCAACAACATGAATTCAGACAGGCAAAATACTGTTCAATTGTGAGATCTCAGAAAAAAATCTAAGCAGCAGCTCCAATATATTTTTCAGAAGCCTTCCATCCCAGGTTCTCTCATTCCTGCCCACATAATTTAAATTATATTGAACCAGACATTAATGCATGTCAGAGTGCCTTAATGCACTCAGTGGGTTTTAATGTCCTCCTCAACTGTGGGCTCTGCACCCAGGTTACAAAGATAGGCTTGTACGAGAAGAAGAGAATGACTTCTCAGGATGCAGTGCTCCTATAGGGATATAGGAATTTACCCCTGCTGAATTCATGCCATTTGCCAAACTTCAAAGATCACTTAAAAAAGAAAAACAACAAACAAACCTCAGAGATCAGCATGCAACTTCCCAGCACTGGTAAAATGGGCACCGGGCAATTCTTTGGCTATGGAGATACAGTCATAGCAGTGAGTGACCACAATTCTACCTCACACATAACTTTCACATCCTGTGATGGGGATATGTCTCCAAAGTAGCCCTGTTTGACAAGGAGTGGGTTTTGTACAACATGGTTGAAATAGATGATATGTAGAAAGGAGTGGGATGAAGCCAACAGATGAGACTGGAGAGTTTCTTTAGTCTCCTCAAAAAGTCTTGTGTTTGAGGACTGAAGTCCCATTTGGGAGAGCTCCCCTGAGGGTAGCCAAAAGATCTGAGCAGTGCTGTGAGATGGATCACAGGAATCACTTGTGATGATGAGAGGAAAGAAACACAAGTCTTGCAGAGATGATCACACAAAAAGCGATTCTGACTGATTTTCTCCTGGCTTCTGGAGAAAAAGGTCTCAGGTAGAAGGAAAGAAGCTTTTGCTTCAGGCTATTTACTCAAAATTCATTTACTGATGTTGGCCGTTGTGGACTATGAGTTTCAAGAAGTATTCCATGTGTTGATTTTAACTGGCTTAATTATTTGAGACAGAACATTGTGAAGTTTGAGTTGCCATAATAGAAGGTTGGCTTTATTGACATTCAAAGTGCAATTCATAAGCTTAAGAATATTGTAGTTAGAGGCATTCTGCAAGTAGTCCAGTCACGTATTACAGAAACTTCAATTTCTGTCTTTCATTATCCAATATACTGGCCTGGTTTTGGTTGTTTTTGTGGTTTTTTTTCTGTTTTCAGGTTTGTTTGCTTGGGATTTTCTGCCCTGACAGGTCATGAAGTCCCAAAACCAGAAGGAAATACTTTCCAGTGTTTTATGTGTGTTACATTTTCTAGCCTGTGTTATCCAATGAATTTCTGAAGAACTTACACCACGTAGATCAATAAAAATCTTGCAGCAATGAAATATTCTTATTTGTTATTTCCTGATCATAGAATCATTTCAGTTGGAAAAGACCTTTAAGAACATCAAGTCCAACCAGCACTGCCAAGTTCACCACTAAACCATAAGCCTGACCCAGAAAATTCACTAATCCAGGCATTCATTTTCTGTTATTTTGCTTAGAGTAACACACCCTTCTTTTTACACAAAGCACCACATCTGCAGATCTTTTAAATCCTTCCAGAAATGGTGAATCCCCCACCTCCCTGGGCTGCCTGTTCTAGAGTTTGACAACCCTTTCAGTTAAGAAATTTTTCCTGATATCCAATCTAAACCTCCCCTGGTGCAACTCGAGGCCATTTCCAATGAATTACTGAATTATTTTTTTTCGCAGTCCCACAGCAAAGCATGGCTTCTTTCTGCATGCATTACAAGTTGCTTATCATTTATACTTCCATTAGTTTGACATTTTAAATATTTGCAATTTGCCTTTCCTGCTTTTCATAAAAAGATTAAATAGGAAAATGTGAATGGTTTAATCTTTTTCTACAGTATCTTACCCTCTTAAAAATAGAAAACTGTATTTGCTATTGTAGTTGAATTACTGAATTTATGGTATCTCTTTATAATTATTAATCAAAAGTATGTATTTTAATGAAACTTACTGTGGTCATTATTTGCTTTACCCAAGATACTCTCAACAACTTCAAAATAGATTAAGATATTGAAAAAAAAACTAAAATTAGCCGTGGTTTAGATAAAAAATAGTAAATAAAAAATAAAATAGGCTAGTTTTTCCACTAGTATAGTATATGAAAAAACAGAGAATCTACAAGACATAGACCATTTTAGAGGCTGTCACAAGCAGTGTTTAATGATGGAAGCTCACAGAAGAATTCCATTTGCAAGAATTTTACAAAGGAAGGAGGTGACTATAAAAATCCTCATCTGGCTCATTCACTAACCTGGGCATTTTATTTCCAGTATTTTGCTCCAAGTAAGACATCCTTATTTTTATCATAAGTATGAATTCTATCACATTAGTACATTTTTCCAGGAAAAGGGGGATTTCTAATTCTCTAGATCTATTTGATGATGGATGATGAAGTCTACTTGATGACAGATAAGAGAAGCTGGACCTCATATATAATACAGATCCATGGTCACTCTTGGCCACTCAATTCCCCCATCATCCCCAAGCCTCCTCCATAAACCTCCTCTACATCAGCCCTAAATCTGCAGTTAGCTGGTCAGTCCTAGTTCCTGCTCTATCACCAGAGGTGGTGGGTACCCAACTCAGCCACATCAAGCTGATCCCTCCAGCTATCAGGTTATTTGAAGGCAGTGTCCTTGTGTTCTATTTCTTTGG